GCTACGGCATCAAGGTACAGCTTTGGTATTCTGGTGGTAGAGGATGAATGCCACAAAATTTTGGGGTCCCACCACTGGTTTCCTTCATTCTTGGCCATGGAAAAAAAACAAATAGAGTAATGCTGTCTTACTGGAGCCTTGTGCATTTAGCTTCAGTTTAAATAGCAGACATTTGCAGTAGATAAAAGTGCATCTCACTCCCATGAGAAGCTTTATTTCTTTTATTTCAACAGATCAAGTCAATATTTAAAGTCATGAGATCAGGGTGTGCTGTTCCTGGGCTGCGTCCACACTGCAGAAATAAAGCACTTTGACACCACTTTCATGGCCATGGCTCAATGCTATGAAATCCTGGGATTTGTAGTTTTGTGAGCTATTGGTGCCAAACACACTGCAGAAATAAACCAGTTTGAGACCACTTTAACTGCCCTGGCTCAATGCTAGGGAATTCTGGGAATTGTAGTTTTGTCAGACATTAAGCCTTCTCTGTCAGAGAGAGTTCTGGGGCCACAATCAACTACAATTCCTAGGATTCCCTGAACACTGAACGCGGTCTCGAACTAGATTATTTCTGCAGTGTGTTTTGGACCATTGAGCCTCCCCTGTCCAAGAGCTCTGGTGCCTCCACTGAACTACAAATCCCAGCATTCCATAGCATGGAACCATGGCAGTTAAAGAGGTATCAAACTGATTTACGTTTGCAGTGCAGCAGCAATGCTCAGGCTTGTCCGCACAATTCAAATACTCCTTGTGCGAATTGAGTAGTCTGCAATATGGCTAAACACAAGTGAAAGAAATGTGGAGGTTAGCCGAAAAATGCTATAAACTGCGCTGAAAAAGGATGCACAGTTTTTACCGGAGTATATACAAGCACCCATATTATTATTATTATTATTATTATTATTTTTAAAAAAATTAAATTAAGTTTATCAAAATAAAATTATTAAAACAATCCACATCACACCATTTGTCAAGATGTCTTTACGATGATGTGATCTTTCCCCATAACTTCTATACTTGAGCATCCATATTATTGAATGTGTGGCCATTTATCTGCTTTGTATGGATTCTCATGGTTGTGCATTTTTGGCAGTGGGAAGGCAAATAGATACAAATTTGACCAGGAAAGTGACAGCAATGAAGTGTCGATGCGAAAGTGCGAAAGTGCGAAAGTGCTCAGTAATTCACATAATGGTCTTATGTGTAGACTAGGCCCTCAGGTGCATTGCCTAGCAACAGGCTTCCACAGTGGTCCACTGACTAGGGCCTAGTCAATGGACCACTCTACAAAGCCTGTTGCTAGGCAACGCACCTGAGGCCTACTCCTCAGGTAGGCCAGAGCCAGCCTTTCTGGAGTGTCACCCCTAGCAACCATAATTAGAAATTAAGTTCATTATACCCCTTGCGCCTTTACTTCGTTGAGAGCTGCCCTGATTGGGACACTTTATTTCCATGTTACTTGAAGTTCGAAACTGTGGATATATTTTGCCATTGGGTCCCGGAGCACATATTTCGATTTATAGCAGCGGCTGCTTCGTCCAACTTGGGCTGTGTTCGCACTGCAGAAATAATCCAGGTTCATACCACATTAACCGCCCTGGCTCAGTGCTATGGAATGCTAGGATTTGTGGTTTTGTGTGACTTTTTTTTACCTTCCCTGTCAGAGAGCTCCGGTGCCACAACAAACTACAATTCCCAGGTTTCCATAGCATGGAGCCAAGGCAGTGAAAACAGTGTTTCTGCAGTGCGGACGCACCTTCGCTCATTCTCTCTTTTTTCCAAACTGGCTCAGTTTTATGTCAGCTGTTACAGCTGTGTATATATTGTATTTAGAATAGCATCCCAGATGTGTACATACTATAATATATGAATTTAACCAGCGGTCCCTCCACAGTCTTTGTGGGCGGGCATGTTATGTGTTCTCGGTTTTGTTCTGTTTTGTATTTGTATTTTGTTTTTGTTTTTACACGGACAAATGACCAATAAATTCTGTTGGTTTTCTTTTTCCCCTTGTTTTTCTCCTTTTGCAATTCGGGGTCAACTAAACCAAAACTAAACTAAAAGCAAAAACACATTGAAATGACTTTCAGGTAAGTCTGAAGTACAGTCAGACCTCCACATTTGCAGCTTTGACTATTTATTATTATTATTATTATTATTATTGTTGTTGTTGTTGTTGTTGTTGTTGTTGTTGTTGTTATTTGTGGATATGATTAATATTTTCTCTTTAGAGAAAAGAAGCAAAAAAGAAGAAAGATAGAGAGGCAGTAGACAGTATGATAAAGATGAAGGTGAAAGAAAGAAATGGGAACAGAAAGGTTAAAAAAGAAAGGATTGAAATAAGATTAGAAGGAAGGAAGAGAGTAAAGGAAATTTATGAGAGAAAACTAAAAATATTTTAAGAATAAATGTATTATTGACCTATTCCTATTTATTGAAGGAAGAGGAGGAAGACAAGAAACAAAATAAACAAAAAATGGAAGTAATAATAATAATAATAATAATAATAATAATATATTTATATCCTGCCCCTCTGAGATCAATCGGGGCAGCTAACAACAATAAAATACATCATATAAAATCCAAGATAATACCTACCCCCCCTTAAAAAAGTATTAAACTAAAGGCAATTTAAAACATTTAAATACATAAAAAATTAAACAACTCAAATTAACTAAACAACAAATGGAAAACAGCAAACAGTGGCAGCAGTAATTACTTTGAGAAGGGCAAATTAAACCGATAAGACAAGATAAGGAAGGGGGAGAAGAACAGAAAAGAAGAATATTGAAAGAATATTGGAAAAGGTAAAAGGGATTAAAAAGTGTTAATTCGAGGACTACTAAAAGGAAACATGTTAAACTGTAAGAAATGATGAGAATTAAAAAAAATGTTCTTTTTTGGAATATTTAATCCTCCATGACTCTGGAGACCAGGGTTCAATTCCTGGCTCATCTATGTAAACCCACTGGGGGGCCTTGGGCAAGTCACACAGTCTCAGCCTCAGAGGATGGCAATGGCAAACATCCTCTGAAGAAACTTGCCAAGAAAAGACCATGATATTGGGGTTGCCATAAGTCGGATATGACTTGTAGACACACGACAACAGCAGTAAAGAAGCTTTCAGAAAATCTTGGAGGACTGCAACCTTCCAATGCCATTCTTTTCCCCTATTATGGGCAGTTTCTATTGTTATCTAAATTATTACATTGTTATTTTAAAAATGCCACCAGAAATACAATTTTAAAAAACCCTCAAATTAGGTGAGGAATTAGGGTTGCCAGTTCAGATATGTCCCAGGCCCTAAGGGTGCATCTACACTGTAGAAATAATGTGGTTTGACACCACTTTTAAGTGCTGCAGCTCCATCCTATGGAATTCTGGAATTTGTAGTTTTTACAGGCCCTTTCGTCGTCTTTGCCAAAAAATACTGGTGCCTTGCAAAACTACAAATCCCTGAATTCTGTAAGATGGAGCCGTGGCAGCCATGGTATTTGTGTGCTGTGTGTTATGGACATTATATCCAGGTGGGGTGCATTATGCTAAAACTACAACACAAGCACAATTGTATAAAGACTATAAACCTAAATCCACAATAGGGGCTCTAAATATTCAAACACCAAAGCAAATTATATATATATATATATATATATATATATATATATATATATATATATATATATATATATATATATATATATATATATATATAAACATACACCTAAATGACAACAATCAAACATGCAAATTTCATTTTTAGGAGGAAATTGTTCCAGAAAATGAGCATGATTGCAAAAAAGACTTTTTCTGGTTATCTCCAAGTTGTTAAACAACTCAGTACTATTGCAACTGTAACAGCTATGTGTTTTATTAACTCTGCTTTCTGTTTTGCCATTGTTTCTTTCTATTACATGTTACTTTTGGAAATGTTTGGGTTTCTCCTGTCCTTGAGACTTCTTAAACATGTTTCACTTTAAAATTGCACCTTTATTTATCACTTCTGCGTGGATCTTGTGTGAAATTAATTGCCCAGTAGTTCTTTGGTCATAAATTTTGAACAAACTCTTCCAGGTTTAAAAAATTCAAATGCTGACATAACCATGGAACAACTTTTTATTAGTGGTAGAAGTAAATTTGGAACTGGCCCTTTGCATCCACGGTTTCTGCATCCACAGATTTGACCATCCATGGCTTGAAAATATTTTTTTAAAAAATCTAAAAAGCAAACCTCAATTTTGCCATTTTATTTAAGG